GGGCTGGTGCCACCCCAGCCCGGTGTCCCTGGGAACAGGGGCTGGTGCCACCCCAGCCCGGGATTGCCCTGGGGACAGGGGCTGGTGCCACCCCCGCCCGGTGTCCCTGGGGACAGGAGCTGCTGCCACCCCTACCCCGTGTCCCCTGGGGACAGGGGTTGCTGCCACCCTCGCCCGGTGTCCCCTGGGGACAGGGGCTGCTGCCACCCCAGCCCTGTGTCCCTGGGGACAGGGGCTGCTGCCACCCCAGCCCGGGATTGCCCTGGGGACAGGGGCTGCTGCCACCCCCGCCCTGTGTCCCTGGGGACAGGGGCTGCTGCCACCCCTACCCCGTGTCCCCTGGGGACAGGGGCTGCTGCCACCCCCGCCCGGGATTGCCCTGGGGACAGGGGCTGCTGCCACCCCCGCCCGGTGTCCCTGTCGCACCTCGTAGCCCTGCTCCCGCGCGTTGCGCCTGGCGCCCTCCAGCGTGCGGATGCGGTACTGCAGGATGGCGCGGGCAGCCTCGGGATAGAGCAGCAGGATATTCGGGAACATCCAGGTGTCCTGCGGGGCCGCGCGCCGGGATTGGCTGGGGGCAAGCACCCAAATGCTCCCGCCCTTCAAGTGCACCCTCATCCCGACGAGGAAGGAGTCTTGTCCGTTCCTATTGAAGGACAGCCTTCTCCATCCCGATGGAAGGATGGAGTCTCCTCCATCCCACTCGCCGCGCCAAGCCCCCCTCAGGTCGGCACGGCCCCCCTCACCTGGTCCCAGAAGACGTGTCCCCAGTAGTCCTCGCCGCGGGTGCCGTTGGACAAGCCGCCGGGGCTGATGCCGTGGAACGGGGCTGCGGGGCTGTCCCGGGGCGGCACGGCGCTCAGCAGGTAGTAGAGGCAGCCGTGCAGCGCCTGGCGCAGCGCCGGGGGCCCGTGCAGCTGCACGGAGCATTCCCGGCGCAGCGCGGCCCAGGCGCGCACGTGGGAGCGGAGCAGGGAGCCCGCGGCCAGCAGGGACAGCCCCGCGCTGTAGCTGCGCTTCGCCTCCTCCTCGCTGCCGGCCACCGCCGTCAGGAGCTGCCAGCAGCGCTCCCGCTCCTCCCCGCCCAGCGTCAGCCGCTGCGGGATGGGGGTCCACAGCATGTGGACGGTGGGACGGGGGCCCCCCTCCACCTCGGGAACCAGCGTCTGCCCGTAGATGTAGCTGTGGGAGACGGGAAGCGACTGGGGAAGGTGTTTCTTCCCAATGTCCCATCTAAGCCTGCCCTCTGGCAGTGGGAAGCCATCGCAGATGGTCTCTGGTCCCAGGAATCCTGTTCTAGAGGTAATCTCCTACAAATCTCCCGTTTTCCTCAACCTCATTTCTTTGGAATCACAGGTAGCCCCCATCGCCTTCACTGCCCTCACACATCAGTGTGAGGCATAATCCTGGAGTTGCAAGCAATACAAATGTTTCTATGCTTAATTTCAGGGGGTTTTTTAATACACCTGCCAGGACAAAGCAGGTGTGAGAAGCCTCCACATCCCTCACTATTCCAGCCCCACATCCCTCACCATTCCAGCCCCACGCCCCTCACCATTCCTGCCCCACGCCCCTCACCATTCCATCCCTACATTCCTCACCATTCCAACACCACATCCCTCACCATTCCAGCCCCACACCCCTCACCATTCCAGCCCTACATCCCTCACCATTCCAACCCCACATCCCTCACCATTCCAACCCAATATCCCTCACCATTCCAACCCAACACCCCTCACCATTCCAACCCTACGTCCCTCACCATTCCTGCCCCACATCCCTCACCATTCCAGCCCCACACCCCTCACCATTCCAGCCCCACACCCCTCACCATTCCAGCCCCATGCCCCTCACCATTCCAGCCCCGCTCCAGCCTTACACCTGCAGTTTATTCCCCAGGGGAGAGCAGGGCACTGCGCCACAGCCCGTGGAGGGTGGGCTCAGCGCAGGGACCCCCATTCCCCACTCACTGTGCTCCCTGGAAGTCTGGGCCCGGGGTCAAGTGCAGGTCCTGGCTCTGCGGCACGAACAGGCTCTGGAGCTGGACGGTGATGGGATGTGTGGAGCCATCCAAGCGCCGGATGGTGACGCTGCAGGCCATCAGGTGCACCAGGGAGTGGTGGGCGTACAGCTGCTGGGTGGCCGTGTAGCCAGGGGACTGAATCGTGTGGCTGAAGGTCCCTGCAAGCACAGCCAGCGCCACCAGCCTTTGGAAACACTTGGATCCTGCCCTATCTACCGGTTCCTACTGGCCAAAAAATTGCTTTTCCCAGGATCAGATCCAGTTGTGGACTGGAGAACACTGCTGACAGGGAGCCTGGCCAAGCTGCTGAGGGATGGTCTGTGCCATCAAACATTTTACCAAGCTCCGTGATTAAAGAGTGTCTGCCGAGCCTGGCCCCAGCAGGGACAGAGCTACAGCCTGAAAATCACTTATTCCCACACAAAAGGAGGATTTTCCGCGTGTTCCAGAGGAACAGCACCCCGAGGCGAACGGAGAAGGAAGATGTGGCTGAGGAGAAGAGGCAGCAGAAGCAGAGAGAATCGAGGCTGCGGCAGAGCCGCGGGCAAGGTGCCGCTCCCTGCTCACCTGTCCAGGTGTTGAGGGTGAAGCTGTGCTCCGGGCTGCGGGCTCCGGGCGCTGCCATGCGCAGCCCCAGCGGGCTGGGGACATCGGCGCGGTGCGTGTCCCCCGCGGCGCCGCTGTACACGCCGGCGGCGTGCAGGATGTCCCGGAACACGCGGGTGCCCAGGAAGGCGTTGGTGACCGTGGGCAGCAGCCGCGGGTCCCCGGGCAGGGCGGTGGCCGTGAACACGCCGGGGCCGCCCTCGCCATCGGCCATCGCCGCCGGCCCCACCTGCGGAGCCGCAGGGATGGGACGAAAGCTGAGGGGACAAAGGCAGCTCCCTGTCACTCCCCCGCCTGCCACCAGCGGTCTCTGCCCATTTTGGTGTCCCCTCTGGTCACCTCTAGCGGTTTTCCCCCATCCCAGCTTCCTCCCAGCCCCGCGGTGCATCCCCTCCGCTCCCTCGCCCCATCTCCAGCTGTCCCAAATCCTGATGGATGAAGGATGAAGCTCACAGGCTTCATCACTTCTCAGCCTCCCTCCCTCCTCCTCTTCTGCTGCCGGGATGGGGTTGCACCAGTTTCTCCCAACACACACAGCCACCTTCCCCATCTGGCCTCCTCTTCCTCCCAGGGCTGTTCCGTGACAATTTGAACAGTTCCTGATACTTCCCCCTCTGCCAGCTCACTGCACCCCTCTGTTCCCCCTCACTCCCACATCTCCAGCTCAGCCTCCTGGGGCAGGACCTTTCTATTCCACTGATTTATACCTAAAACTATATTTACATATCGTGCACAAACATATATATAAATACAGACTGAAGATATGTACAGATACAGACTAGCGTAAGCAGCCCCTGACAAAAGGCAGCTGCAGCTGGCTCCTGGCAATGCCGGGCGCAGGAAAAACACAGGAATGACGAAATGAGGCTCTGAGAGACTCTGAGCGGAGCTGGCAATCCAGCCGGGGTGACACGGGGCAAGGAGGGTGCCCAGCCCCCAAATCCCTCCCTGACAGCAGCCGGATGCAGGAACGCTCAAGCTCAGCTTGGTTTCCTCACTGAGACTGAGCTGGGAGGAAAATCCTGCCTTCGGGAAAGTGAAAAATCCCGACCCAGCCCAAGCCCCAGGGTGCGGAGGGAGGAGGTGCGTCTTGCCTTCTGTCCCGAGGCTGAGCCTGTGCAGGCGGAGAGAGGCTGCTCCAGGGAAGGACGGAAGTTGCCCAACCGAGAAAGAAGGAAGGAAATAGCTTTTTTTTTTTTTTTTGGTCTCCTTAAAAATAAATAGTTGGAAAAATGATCCTGGACACGCAGGTTTTTGTCCAGCTGAGCGCCCGCGGAGGGAGCGTGGCAGTCCTGGGGCTGCCCTGTGCCTGGGAAGGAGGAACCGAAAGAGGAAAACCGAGCTGGATGAGCTATGATCCCAAAGCTGCTGGCAGAGAGCCGGGTCAGCAGCACGCCCCACTGACCTCCCGTGTCCCCCGCCACACTCTGGCCCTTCCCCTCGCCTGTTTCCAGGGAGGACAAAAATTCCATCTGGACTTTGGCTTTGGCATGCCTTTCCCAGCCCCTTCCAGCTGGTCCCATCCTGGCGGGTCAGGGATCCAGGGCTGGAGCTGCAGCCAGGGCCACCGGCCGCTCCAAGCAGCCTCCCGGTGCTCACCGGGATCCAGCACTTCCAGGATTGGCATAACACATCTGTCCTGTGCTGTAAATCCATGGAAAAGCCCCCTGGAGCCTGGCTGGGTCGGTCCTGCAGCTGCCAATTACTCAGTGACGCCTTGGGGACACCCTGGCAAAGGGCAGAGCCAGAGAAGCAACACTTCCAGCTCCCAGCTCTACTCCTTTGGTATTCCAGGGTCTAATCACAACTGGGCCAGTAGGATTTCCCCTTTGGTTGGTTCCTCACCACCAGCTGCTGATCCAGCAAAGGCTGAGGCCATGGCAAGGGCAGGAATATCCATCCACTGGAGAGTGGATGGGCATCCACAGGGGTTCTGGGGCACTGGAATCCCCCTCCAGCAGCCACCAGCACACAGGGACAAGCTGTTCCTTCCCCAGCTGATCCCAGTGGCACGCACCCCACTTCCTTCCCTTTATCAGAGGAATTTGGAAATAACCTTTTCCAGTGAGCCCTTTCTCACTGGATGGTGTTTTGAGTGTTATGAAGTTTATAGAAGCCCACAGAAAAGGGGTCCAAGGAGAGAGGAGTTCTGCTCCAAAGGAAGAGTTTTGCCCTAAGGGAAAAAGCCCCTCCAAGGGGAGATCTCTGCTCTCCAGCAGAATATCTCAGTGTCCCCCTGTGCTGGCTGGGGACAGTTTTTGGTCTCAGAGTCCTGGGCAGTGCTAAGGGGAAAAAATCCAAAACCAATTAAGGATAGAAAAATTAAGCGGAGAGCGCTTTGGGAAAACCTGGCTGTGTCAGGCTGCTCCTCCCTGTGCCCTGGAGCTGTGCCAGGGAGTGGCAGGGGGGTGGTGGCAGCAGTGACAGTGACAAGCTGGGCAGCTGCAGAGCAAGGAGCAGCAGGATCACCCTGAGAGCGCCATGAGGGGTTTCCAGAGGGGCTCCCAGCTCCTGGCAGCTGCACTCCGGATCAGCCGGGTCCCCCGGGCACAGATCCGCTCACATCCCCCCGAGAACCCGCTCTCTCCCGGTGTGAGTATTCTGGGGGGCTGGAAAAGTGGGAACAGCCCGGTTGGAGGGGCCCAAACCCTCTGTGTCAGGGCTAAATTGCTTTGGAAGGGGGTGGAAGCAAAAAGGGAGGGGGAGGAAAAGAAGGAATGTGCCCTCAGGTTCCAGCCCACACCCCACGGTGTCCGTGCCCTGCTCCCCCCACACCCAGCTCCTGCTTCTGCTTGATTTTGTCCTTTCACCCCCTTTTTAAACCTTTGACTTTGGGGGTCCCCTGCAGCCCAGGGCAAGGGGCAGCAGTGACACTGGTGGTCCCTCAGGGCCAGATCCAGACCCTGCCCCCCTATCCTGGGATAGGCACCCCAAAGGGGTGTCCCCACGGGCAAGGACAGGAGCTGCTGTCACTGCAGAGCCCAAGGTCCCTCTGACAGTCCCCCTGTGGGGACAGTCCCCCCCAAACCAGACCCTCCCAGGCTGGGTGAAACAAGCTGGAAAAAATGAGCTTTCCACCAAAATGCTACCTGATTCCCCCTCCACCCCTTTATTTGGGGTTTTCCCTCTGCTGCCTTTCCAAGGTCTTCAAGAAAGGAGCTGCAGGAACCTGGAGAGGCTTTTCCCAGGCAAATAAATCAAAGGAAGGTGCCAGTGTGGGAGGTTAATGCTCTCCTGGTTGCAGTGGGGAGACGAGGAGCTGCTGCTGGCTGCAATTCCCGTCCCAAAGTCACCTGAAAGTCAGGAACACTGCAGGCCCCGGCCACAGCCTCAAGGTCATGTACTGCTCCAGCGTCCCAGAGAAGCAACAAACGTGGAGAGCACCGGCTCCATCCACTGCCAGTGGGAACAGCTCTGCTCCCCAAAAACCCCAGGGCAGGTGCCAAGGACTGGGGAGAGCGCAGGGAAGCGAGCTGGGCGTGGTGTTGGACGGCAGCAGCGCAGCCATCCCGGGAGCCCTGTGTGCCATGGCCGTGGTGCGGCCATCCCACTGATTCCTGCTCCTTGTCCCCCTCAGGAACAAGCCGTGGCCCTCACCCTGATGTTCTCGTCCTTCCTGCTGCCCACAGCCTGGGTCCTGAGCAATATCTACAACTACAGGAGCAGGCCCGAGTGAGGAGTGGCAGGAGCAGCCTGATCCCTGCTGAGAGCATCCCGAGGGAAGAGGCCTCGGGACAGAGCCTCGTCGGGGATGGAACCCCCTGAGCCTGCTCATTAAAATCCACCTTTGCATTCAACAAGGGCTCTCTGGGTTTGCTCCATCCCGTAGGGAAGGAACTGGATCTGTGCCCGCTGCCCGGATGGCAGCACTCCTGCAGGGGCTGCCGGCAGGTCCCAAAGGGAAGGCACATTCCCTCTGGAGCCTCTACCACCCGCAGCACTGCGTGCACCCCGTCACCTCTCCCAGCACAAGCAAAGAAGCCATTCCAAGGTGAATTCCTGGCAGGAAACCACTCAAAGGCTGAAAGTGACATGAAAGTGACAGGCTGGGGGCTGCATGCCTGCCCACTCCCTGCCCTGCAGGAAGGGTCTTTCCACCCACCACATCCCAAATTACCTGTGCCCGGGAAGGAGCCAGCACTTGGAAGGTTTGGGTAGTGAGGGGTGCTTCCAGGTGTCTTGGAAAAGCCTCTAGAGCTGTCATAGATCCGCAGATCTGACTCTCATTCCCAGGAGCTGCTCAGAGCTTCACAGACAGGACAGTGCTCCCACAGCACTGGAGCTGTTGGAATGCTCCTGGGAGAAGCTGGTAGTGCTTCCCACAGTGACATTCCAGGTTTTGGATGCTGATCTCAAGCAGCAGCAGCCCCACAACCCAGTGACTCCAGTGGAGTTTCCTTTATTCCCTAAAGTGTAGCGAGAGCCCTGGGAATGAGGATGAGATCTGACTGGGAAGGAGACTGTGCTCCTTTAAGCCTCTTCGTGTCCTCAACAATGAAACAAAGGGAATATTTTCCTGACTGGAACACCTACTTCTTCCACACGCTCTCCTGAAGTCATAGAAGTGGCACCAGGAGTAAGCCTTGGAAGACAGGATGCAGTAGGAATGGGGTAAGTTAAACCAAGTGGCAGGGCAGGGAAGAGGCAGGCACTGGGCACTGAACAACCCCCATCCAGGAGGGAATTTCAGCCAGAAGGGCCTGGAGAGCAGCAGGAGGAAGGTGAGCAGGTGCAGACTCCAGTAATTCCATTTTGTCCTGTTTTCCAAAGTTTGTCTCCCTTGTGTGAGGCATCTCTGCACCAGTCCAGCATCAGCCATATGCTCCCTTCTCTTTCTTGCTGGATTAACACCCTCAGTCAAGGCTGGAAAAGCACAAAAATTCCAGCAGTGCCATTTGCTAATGACACCAGAGAACCAAACTGGTGAGGAAAGCTCCTGAATCCCAGGAGTGGCAAGGTCTGACCATGGAAACACGTTTTTAAAGGAATCAGCAGCAGCTCAGCCGCCAGGGATGGAGATGACACAGAATTCCCAAAAAGGGAAGGCAGAGACGTTTATTCCGGCAATGCCACTGCACCTCACCTGAGCACAAAGCGCTGGTGAAAGACACCCACCCCCTCAAGTGTATGGACACACCCACTAACCAGGAATCCCGGGAAAAGCCTTGGATGGAGCAAACACTCCCTCTGCTGCAGAGGAGGAGGGGTGGAGGGAAGCAGGGCCCAGGGGGGAGGAAGAGGATTTGGGGAAGAAGAATTGGGGAATGCTGCCTCAGGCTGCTGCAGGGGCAGAGGGCAGTGGGACAGGCTGTGTCCCCTAAGGCCAAGACCCCTTGGATCCTGCACTAGGACGCCACCCTCCCGCAGCAGCTGGAGGCAGGAGGGATCAGGAGTGATCCATCCCCCCAGAGCCAGGCCTGCCAGCAGAGGGAAAGCTTGGCTCGAGCACCAAAGGGTCACACAGCAAAAGGCCACGTCCTCGTCCTCCTGCTCGCCACATCCCAGGCTGCTCCTGCTCTGCCCACCCACCCCTCCAGGGATTCAGTACAGTCAGTGCTCTGAGTGCTGCCGGCCTCAGGAGCAGCAGGAATCTCTCCTCTATGTCAGGATGTCGTGGGCTTGGTGCTCCACCAGCATCTCCATGCTCCGCACGTCCGTGCACCAGAACTCCAGGCGATCCTTCATCCCTTTGATCTGCAAGGCAAGGCCACAGGGACAGAGTGCCTCAGCTCCTGGGAATGCCCACAGGCTCCTTCTCACACCTGAGAGCTCAAACCATCCCTCAAAGCCCCCCACACTGAGAAAGGGAGATGCCCCACCCCTGGAAGTGTTCCAGGCCAGGTTGGATGGGGCTTGGAACAACCTGGTTTAGTGGAAGGTGTCCCTGCCCATGGATGGCCTTTAAAGTCCCTCCCAACCATCCTGGGATTCTGGGATTAACAGCTTCTACCTACAGCAAATCAGCAAGGGTTAAACTGAAATGCACCACAGGAATTGTCTGCAGCTGGAATTCCAGGCACTCATTTTTGGGTTTGAAGGTAAAGACACCCTGCACAGTCTCCTTAAGTGTTATAAGGATGAACTTGAGAAGCTCAACAGCTCCATTATATCCTGGACTTCTCTCTTCCCAAGAGGAATGTGCCTCCTACATCCCCGAAACTCCCAGAAGTTGTTTCAAGCATTTAAGAATGAGGCCTGCATCCTTCTGGAAAACACAGCCATGGCTTCTGTGTTCCATGGTGTTTGTGTGGCTTTCACAAGGGACAGGCAGCCCTGTCCTGTCCCACCTCCTGCAAGGTTTCTGGGTGAAACACCCCAGAGGCAAAGCCAAGCTCCCAAGGAGGCTCATTCCCAAGCCATGACTCATCCCAGGCCACCTCAGCGGGCCCAGCTGGAGCTGGTGGCCATTACCTGCTGCAGGTCCAGCACCCGTGGCTGCACCCACGTCATGTGCACCCTCTTGTCCACCTCGTCGATGCTGCCCTTCACCAGCCCCACTGAAAGTGCCTTCATCACCAGCAGCTCCACCTGGGAACACACACAGTCCTGGGAAATGACCCACATCGCCCCATTTTCCCCCTGAGATGAGTAAAACTCGGCATCTTCACATGAGATCCCCTCAGAATCCAGGGCAGCAGCTCTCACAGCTGTCCCCTTTCAGGTGACAGAAGTGCCTCGAGACTCAGCACCTCGACACAGAGGAGTTCTCCCTAAAAATGGATTTCAGAGTTTTTTAGGTTTTTTTAGCTCTTTTTCCCTAAAACTAGATTTATTTTCTTTTCTCTGAAATCCAAGGAAGAACAAGGCAGTGGAAAAAGCCAAAAGCCAACTGTCTCCAAGCAGCAGGTGACAGTTGGTCTCTTCTCCCAGGGACCAAGTGACAGGACAAGAGGAAATGGCCTCAAGCTGCACCAGGGGAGGTTCAGGTTGAACATCAGGAAGAATTTCTTCATGGGAAAGGGCTGCCCAGGGAGGTGTTGCAGTCCCCATCCCTGGAGGTCTCCAAGGAATGACTGCACGTGGCACTCAGTGCTCTGTGCACAAGCTGGACTTGATGATCTCAGAACCTTTTTCCAGCCCAAGTGATTCTGGGATTCTGTGTGGTTCAGGTCTATCCAGGCACTCTCAGAGCTCCAGAACCTGGGCATTACCAAGGGTGTCTAACCACAAACTCACCTCGTTGACGGTGACTTTGGCACTCTTGGCAATCTCCTCGAAGGTGAGCTGGCGGTGGTTGGCCGGGCGGGTGAAAGTCATCTGAATCCAGGGAACAAACAAAAAAAACAACCCCCACAGGGTTTTAGGGATTCCCACAGCGCACAGAGCCTCCCCCAAACTGCCCTGCCCAGTCTCACTCTGCACTGGCAACTGCATTTCTCATGTTTAATCAAAATAAGTCAAACAAGAACGTTTTACACTAGCATGGAGACAACAGAGCCTTCCAGTGAGAGGAAGGGACTGTTTCAGCTTATCCATCAGGGAAAGGACCCTCAGTCCTTGGGAAACAAAGATGTTGAACTGTTTTCTCAAAGTTTGTTTTTTTTTTTATCCTGGAACATACTGCAGACACCACCCCTGAAGGATTGCTCTCCCCCTCCTCCATACCACAGAATGGACCTTCCACTATCCCAGGTTGCTCCAAGCCCTGTTAAACCTGGCCTTGGACACTTCCAGGGATCCAGGGGCAGCCACAGCTTCTCTGTGCTGTGTGACCTGTGCCAGGGCCTCCCCACCCCCACAGGGAAGATAGTCTGCCCAATATCCCACCTAGCCTTCTGTCAGAGAAGCCATTCCCCCTTGTCCTGGCACCCCACACAAGAGCCACCCTGAAGTTAGGGACAAGCAGCCCAGCACGAGGTGTTTTCCCTCATGGCATCTGCCTGTGGCTCCATCTACAGGCAAAATCCACACTGAACTTCCTGTATCCAGGAGTTCCTGCAGGTGAGTGACCAGACACACTGAGCACATCCCAGCTCACCTCCATGAGACACAACAGCTGGATCTTCTGCAGCAGGAGCGCTTCGTTGGCAGCCAGGTCAGGCTGTGAGGGGAGAAATGGCACTAAATCAGGTCAGGATTACATTTTCTCCCCATCCTGGGGCAGAACAGCTTTACACACAGGAATAAATACCTGGGAGGGTTCATTTAAGGGGAAGGAGCCCACGCACCAGCCAGGAATGGTTCCAGAAAACAATCCAAGTGCCAGTGAATTCACAAATCCACTGCTATGCCAGTGATTCCTGGCATAGCCAGTGCAGGTATCATCCAACACCACTGTTTCCCCGCCCGCCCACTTCCCAGAACAGGAGGGAAAACCACTGTTTTCCACTGGAAGCACTCCAGAGGGAAGCCAAAAGAAAACTAATTATGCATATCAAGATGGAATAACCACTCCTAGGCTCCGATCACCATTGCACCAGTGCTCCAGAGCCAGGAATGAGGCAAAGCTGATGAAGAAAAAGCCCACAGACTCCCAAGTGTCAGGTGGAAATCCCAAGCCTGGGCCTTCAGCAGTCCCAGAGCCCTCACCTGCTGCCCCCAGGCCGACTTGAGGGCCTGGAAGGTCTCCACGTTGCCGCTGTTGAAGGCGAAGAGGGTGTCAATGAGCCACTGCCGGTCCGTGCTGCGCAGGGACTCCAGCACGGGGTGCATCAGCTGCAGGGACAGGCAGGGGGCTGTCAGCAGGGGAACACCAGCTCCTGGGGCTCCAGGGATGAAAGGATGTGGCAGCACTCACCAGCTCCCCAAAGTTGTAGACGCCTTCTCCCAGCAGCCCGGCCAGCCCCAGGGTGAAGGC